AGTTTAATAAAATTATCCACGAGTTTGAAACAGAGAAAGGCGATTGTTTTTTTGGTAGTTTGTAACTAACCACGGCTGATATTTTTTCAGTCGTTTAACTCAATATAGCTTACGCTATGAATGTTTTTAATCTGCTGTTGTGTTGCAACAGAGTTGTGAGTTCGTAGCACTGGCGTTCTTATGAGTCTATGAGCATTGCTACTTAGCAATCTTTTTAGTTCGTGGTTTACTACTATATATATGTAAGTTTTTAATCTAGCCTTACTTTTAACGTTATATTTATCAATTGATTTAATAACTGCAACATAACAATCATGTACAAAATCTGCAATTGTATCATTATCTAAAAAACTCCCGACTTTTTTAATCACTTGTTTAGTAATAGATGCTGTTAGAGACAAAAAAACAGCATCTCTGCTTTGCATGCAGCCGTGTTGCTGATATTTAACCAACAGCTCAAATTCTTCTGCTTTATTCATAACCATCACCAGCAAAAAAAAAAAAACCAAATTCAAATTGTAGCTGTTTATTAGACCCAGAGCAAAATGTAAAAATTTTAGAATGATCGAGGTTCGGACTTTCGGTATTTTGAGTCTCGAAAAAGAACCTAATAGGTGGGGTAGGTGGGTCATCTGAGACGTGAACAAATGACATCAAAAGCAAGCAAAAAGCCTTTAAAACAGCCCTTTTTGGCTCATATTTGTGGCAACTTGTAATCTATATTCTACTTTACACAAGACGTCAGCTTTTTAGCAAATAATTCTAACACTTCAATTATAGACTTGCTAGTATCTCGCTCAATATGTCGTCGCTCTCTATATTGTATTTTTCTAGCAGTGTAACTATCTGCAATTCCTTCGAGCATATAAAATATTATTGCTCTTAGTGAGTGAAACTCTACGTTTAATTCTGCAAGCGTGTGAGTAAATGCTATACATGTTTTTACCCTGCCTCCAAACTCTTTTTCTAGCAAATATTTCCTGCCAGCCAACTCCTTAATAACGCTTTTGGCTGCTTGGCTCAAACTGTATTTTTTACCATCGATTACCATGTGATCATCAAAAATATCTTTTGTCTCTACTGTTATTAATTGCTTTATAGATGCACACCCTATCAATATATTTAGCTTTGTAGCTAACAATGCTTTTTGTGATATATGCTCTGACACGTGATAAAATTTATGGTTACATTTTATAAGATTATTCAATTTTTTATAACTATGTAAAAAATCATGTTTGTCTTTATTTTGCTGGCTATACGTGTATTTTACTGCTAGATAATATCCGCTGTTGAAAAATACTCCATATTTAATTTTTTTAGAGTTTAAATCATGCTCTATGCAAAAATCTAATAATGTTGTTAATTGACCTCGCCTAGCAGAATGTTTTCTGTGCGATAACTCTGTTTTATATGTTTTAGCTAGATTAGTCTGTAAGCTGCGTACATTTAGTTTTTTAACCTCATAA